TCTCTCTCTCTCTCTCTCTCTCTCTCTCTCTCTCTGATGATGATGATGATGATTTCAGATAGCTCACCTTACATCCAAAGGGCAGGACTCTTTCCTCAGGGAGATACTTCAACCAGATAGTTCTAGCTTCATCATCTGCTCCAAGGTTCAGCTTCTTGTCCCCTCCGAAATAGGTCGCATAGATGCGATCCTTAGGAAGACCATACACCTGTCAGAGTGCCATAATAGCATACACCGAAACAAACGCCTTCAGAGCAAGGCAGAGATCAATTCAACCGGCAAAAGCAGAAATTCCCAAACCGCCAGCTGCAGGCATTCAAAGGATAAACTACCATGTTCCCCCTAACGGACTATGCACTGGCAATCGGTGCCTCTACAGACTGGCAATTCGGTGTATCTATACACTGGCAAGCAGTCTATCTATATCTATACACTAACAATCACTCCATCTATAGACTGGTACTAGGTCTAAATACAGGTACAATGACTGTGCTTTCTTATTCGGGGGAAACTGGTAGACGGAAGACCGCTGCACAAAGAAAAGCAGGAGACCTTCCACAAAAGGAAGTGATGCAAAATTCAAAAAACGAGCCACTGCACAAAAAAACAGCAGCAGACCTTCCACAAAAGGAAATAATGCAAAATCCTAAAACCGACGCCGTCACAACCATGAAATCCACTGCAAGGATTGTGCGTATCTCCATTGGTATGCCATCACGTTATTGATGTGTGGGTCTGTATTCGAGCCCAGATGGAATCCTACAAGTGAAACCGAAGGCTATTGCGTAAAATCCCAACGATCTCTACGGCAATAACTCATGCCATATGTCTCGTAGAAATCTTTGAGGGCCGACCTGGCCGTCCTGACCCCACACAGGGATTCAGGGCCTGAGCGTGTCACAGTTGACTTTTGTCAACTGTTGCGACCCCGACAGTCAAAGTCCAAAGGTACCCAGTCCAGGCCACCGGTCAAGCACACACTTGTTTGTATGCAGGTACCCAGACAGCATCAAGTCCAAGGGGAAATTCTGCAACTGTACAATCCAGGCCTTCGGCTGTGACTCAATCTGGACGACTGAGGGGAGGAGACTTGAGGTGGTCAGCATTCAGTCAATGCTGGCTTGACTTCGACTTGACGCTGGCATTATGCTAGCGCGACGCTGGCTGGACGCTGGCTGTGCATCAGAGCTGCAGACGATGACATGAGGGAGAGGCTGTACGCTGGCACTATACGCCAGACTGCTGAGGTGGCATGCTGATGTGGCACTGCCTCTGGTATATGTGGTGCTGCCTCTGGTCTACGTGGCATGCTGACATGGCACTGCCTCTGGCCTACGTGGCATGCTGATGTGGCGCTGCCTCTGATTTATGTGACATGCTGATGTGGCACTACCTCTGGTTTATGTGGCGCTGCCTCTAGTCTACGTGGCATGCTGACCTGGCGCTGCCTCTAGTAGGCGCTGCCTCTGGTATATGTGGTGCTGCTTGTGGTCTACGTGGCACTGATATTGGTCTTCATTGATGATGTGGCATTTGCCACCTGTCTTGATTGCTAATGTGGCATTGTCCACGCTGTCAACATGAGCTGACTGATTGCGAGGGAAGAGGAAGATCGGGACTGTGGAGAGACCGTGAATATGTACCTGATTGTCTTCATGTTGACATTGCTCTAGTGCTGAAGACTAATTAGACGTGCCACGTGGCGCATTGAGGATACTTCAGATACTCGTTCAGACTATTGATTTTGAAGTGGTGATTGAGGAGGGAGCCCTAAGCAGGAGTGGGCATTGTATTTATTTCCTCTCCTTTGTCTAATCTCCCTCCTCTCTACTTCGTCTGTGTATGATTATCTCGTCTCATTCTATCTGAACACGATCTGATTATTGGTAATCATCAGCTGGTTGACATTCTGGACTTGCATTGTTGATCACTGTCTTCACACAATCTGGGTTCATTGCAATTTGGTATCGGAGCAACTCTTCATCGCGATCTGCTGTCAGCTGTCAGGTGCTGACGTGGCACCCAGGTAAGTGGGAGGTGCCGCATGTGCAATATGAAACGCGTTTATTGACGCCCGCTGTCATAGCGCAAGTCTAGACATGGTAATAGTGCACTTACGCAGCCATCCCTTGAAGATGATGACAAGGCTACACTTAAGATTGAAGAGCTGCATTGGCAACAAGCTGACATGGTGGTACCGCTGATGTGGCATATTGTATGTGGCATGCAGGGCATGGTCTGACGTGGCACGTACCTGTTACTGCTTGCTGTTGATGTGCTGACCTGGTATATTTCTGAAAGTCAGGCCTGCATTGTGACGTGGCATCCCTACTTGTAGACCTATCGGGTCCTTGACTCGCTGGCGTGGAAGCCTCTTCGAGTTTCTGCGTTGGCAGGCCAGGGGTGACACGTGGCATGTGCAAGGACTGCTTAAAGTGTGAATGTGCACTTCCATTGTACTGCTGCTGCAGATGGATGAGAAGAGAACTGACCACTGATCGTGTTATGTGTTGGTTCTACTCACCTGTTGGTTCTGTGGATGCTGTGCATACTTACTCTTGTGCTGTTGTCTTGATCACACTGGCTCCCTCACCCACTGCCCTCATCACCCTAGTGCCGGCCCTTGCATGCCTTCAGTTAGGCATATCTCCACCCCATTCCAAGGTCCCCCTTTTTTTTCCATGGTCGACCCTGCATGGTGCCATCCTTTTGTCGAACATTACCCGCCCTGATGGTCTATCTATTAGGGTCATTGGTTTTGTTTCGCTACCTCTCCCACCTTGAGCATGATGACCTACCCCACCTTCGTGTGTGACTGCCCTTTGATGGTCTATCTGTGAGGGTCGTTGGTTTTGTTTCGCTACCACTCTCCTACCTTGAGCCTGATGACCTACCCCACCTTCGTGTGTGACTACCCTTGGGAGTCCAATTCTTAGGCTGCATTCACCCCCTTTAAGACCAGCCCACCCTTACTGGTTCAGCGACATGACATTATCTTGTGACGTACTGCTCTTTTTTCCTTTCAGCACTAAGGTCATTGACTTTAGGATTGTCTATTGCTACATTTCATTTTCTGCTCTTAGCTAGGATGTGTATACCAGACATTTACTTTTCATTGGACATTATGTAGCTTAGGCTGCATCACATGGACTCCGCATGGAGCGTACTCCGCATCCTAGATTTCTCAACTTTCTTTATTGCAGAGTTCCGCTGCTTTTGCGGATAGCATGCTTATGGCTCTTACAAGTCTGAGGATCGTGCAGCGGACCTCCGTCTGCCCTGGCCTACAGGCAAGGCCCACTCAGCTATTTATCAGTTCGACCTATGGGACTAGGCCCTGGCCGATCTTTGGGGGAAGCCTACAAGGAAGATCCCATCACAATGGACATCATCAACAAACTACAGGCCAAACTAGGCCCTGGCCGATCTTTGGGGGAAGCCTACAAGGAAGATCCCATCACAATGGACATCATCAACAAACTACAGGCCAAAGACAAGGCCACCGCTGACGAGTTTGTGATGGTGGATAGGTTGCTCTTTCTTGAGAAGGCAAGCTTTAAGAGGTTGGTTATTCCATCCAGGGAGACTTTGCGCAATTTATTTTTAGGTGAGTGCCACGACGCAACGGGACATTTCAGCTTCAAGAAGACTAATGCTAATTTAGTACAGCGATTCTGGTGGCCTGACATGCTAGACGATGTAAAGAAGTCCGTAGAGACATGTCAAGTCTGTCAGCGGGACAAGCCAGGGACTCTAGCTCCGCTTGGGTTACTCAAGCCTCTACCCATTCCCACTGGCCCGGGGCAGAGTATCTCCATGGACTTCATGGATACTCTCGTGACCAGCAAGAATGGCAAGAGGCACATCTTCGTCATAGTGGATAGGTTCACTGAATACGCTAGACAAATTGCCATGCCAAAGACTGTCAGGACTGAGCACATCATTAAGTTTTTCATGGGCAATGTGTGATTTTGGACTTCCAAAGACGATCATTAGTGACAGAGATGTGCGTTTCACAAGTGCGATGTGGAAGAAGGCCGCTGAACAGATAGGCAGCCAGCTTCAGATGACTTCTGGGAATCATCCCGAAGCAAATGGCCAGGCTGAACAGACGAACCGTGTGGTGCAGCATCTGCTGAGGCATTATATCAAGCCCAGCCAGGATGACTGGGATGAGAAGTTACCTCTCATCGCCAGCCTGTACAAAAATGCTGTACACAGCACCACCAGCGTCGGTCCTAATCAGCTGCATCTGGGATGGGCGCCTAGATCTGCTCTCGACTTCCTCCTGCCTGAAAATCGAACTGCTGCAACTCCTGGAACCATTGAATTTGGTGTCCACTATGAAAAATTGTTGTAGCAGACTGCCGAACACATCAAGAAATCTCAGGCTTCTGAGAACAAATGCCGCCGACAATCCACATTTCATGTACGGGAACGTGTCTGGGTCAAGGCTAGTGAGTTGGGACAGGAGTTTGACATCTCTAGGAAACTAATGCCTTAGTATTTCGGTCCCTAGGAAGTCCTAGACATAGTGGGGAGTGATTTGGATGGTCCCTCGTACGTCATTCGTATCCTTGGTCACTTACGCACTTACCCTGTTTTTCACGCATCCAAGCTTTCACGCATCCAAGCTTGCACCTTTCCCTGAGACAGCACAGTTCCCGTCACGGAGATCTATGCTGCCCCCAACCATGGATGGCCACGTGGACGTCGACTACATCCTGGATCACAAAGACACGCCTGTTGCCAAGCCACCTGGCAGGGGAAGACCTCCCAAACCTGCGACGGAGAACAGAGTACATTTCAAGCATCATACTGATCAGAAGGAAGATCGATGGATTTCAAGGGAGGAACTGGTCAAGACAGCTCCTCAGATCGTGGCAGACTATGAGAAGAAACTGAAGGGGAAGGCACCAGCGTGAAGCATATCAGCAGACTCTCGAAGCTAAGGGGGATGGAATGTGAGGAACAAGCCCTCAAGGGGCCTTATCAGACATCACATTGTTCTGGGCTAAGGCCCCCAGCAAGCCAAGTGCCCGCCCTAAGTGAAGGCGGGCCTGAATATTCGTCAAGGCAAAATTCGATATTTTCATATGTGGGTATTCAGGCTCTAGCAGCACGCCAGTTGGTTGGAAAGACGTGTGCGCCTCACATTGCTGCATCATACAGTTGTCCCAGGTCTTGACAGTTGCACCTGGGCACACATACACAAAACAGGGCCGATATATTGGGAAGCAGGCCTTCGGCATCGGCAAAAGCAGTAGTGTCGACGCACCTGCCTGGGAGCCCTGCACAGATGCAGCAAACAGCCCAAGTCCGGAGACTCAGTCCGTGCCTAACTGCAAAGGGCCCAGGCCCTCAACTGTAGTCTCGAGCCTGGGCGA